TGAGGTCACTAAATCCTGGGCACTTGATAGGGGTGAGCAGCGTACACCAGGATGAGAGACGTAAGTACAGAGGGGACCTGGCATAAAAGCAGGCTTTTATTTTTAAATTTTGCCTAAGATCAGCCATACAATGGTATAAAGGAAAAAAAAGGGTCTTGGAGTCAGAAAGCCCTGGGTTTGAAGCCCAGATATGCCATTTACTGCTTTGAGACTTTTGGTAAGTCATTATTCTTTGTAAGCCTTGGTTTTCTTCATTCTAGGGCTGAAGTAAGGAATTCAGTAAAGCATCCGGCACTCAGTGGGCATTTAATAAATATCTATTTCCTCCTCCTCCTCACGTGACCACATACATAGGCTATAACAACTCAGGCTAGTACTAAAATTCAACTATACTATATTTTAAGTGCTGGGGGGGATGTGAAATCCATTTAAACATTTTAACTGGATTTTGAACAAAATGTTTTTTTTTTTTTTTTTTTTTTGAGACAGAGTCTCCCTTTGTCGCCAAGCCTAGAGTGTAGTGGCACGATCTTGGCTCACTGCTACCTCTGCCTCCTGGGTTCAAATGATTCTCCTGCCTCGGTCTCCCAAGTACCTGGGACTACAGGCATGTGCCACCACGCCCAGCTAATTTTTGTATTTTACAAATACAAAACACATGGTGATACAAATACAAATACATAGTGAGACACAGTTTCACCATGTTGGCCAGGCTGGTCTCAAACTCCTGACCTCAAGTGATCCACCTGCTTCGGTCTCCCAAAGTGCTAGGTTACAGGCATGAGCTACCCGCCTGCCTGAACAGACTTTTAGATAGTTTTCTACAATTAGGGCAGTCTTAATTCTGCATATTTCTATGCTAAATTAACATACTCTGAAATATGCTTTGACAGCAAAAAAGCTAATGGATGCAGTAATGGAAACAGTATCCAAGTTACAGAAATAAATAGCCCTGCGGTACTTAACTCAGATCAGATCACTTCTGGGATAATACATTCAATTCAGGCACTACATATGAAACTAGAACTCATCCCGAAAAGGCAATTAGGATAATTCTTCTTATTTGAGAGCTGTTACAAAGTTACGGCATTTAACCCTCACAGTATCATGAAGCTGTTATGGCAGGCATGAATTCTATTTTAGAGATGTAGAAAATTGAGGCTCAGAGAAAACAGGAATGAATCTAGAAACTGAGCACAGATACCACACACGTCCAAAATTTCATAATCCTTTAGAAAGTACTTAAAATTGGGGGAGAGTTTGGGAGGAGAGAGGGTTAAACTGTATTGAAAAACAGATTAGGAAGAACTATAACATTGTATACACACAGATACACAAGTGTACACTGAGGAGGCAAAGACAGTTTGTGGAAGACTAGATAAGGTATTGTTAGCAGCACTGCCTTTGAGGAGCAGAAGTGATAGACGAGGAAGACCCACTTAGTAGTTCCCTGATCTCTTGGAATTAAATTACTACGAGCCTATATTACATAGAACACGTGGAAGTTAAAGTTTTAGACCGTCGTGCAAGAACTAGATGTATGCTGGGTGAACACACCGAGCAGAGCACAGACACGGAGGGGGAATGTACTGTCCAGGAGCACACATTCACCAAACGTCATTTAAAGAGCTGTCCAGCATCGGAATGGCGTCCCCAAAACCCGTGGGTTCCCGCCCTCTGGTCCTACCACTGCAGGAGGGGCCCACCAGAGATCTGGGCTCGATCAAAGATCCCAAAGATCCTCCCAAAGCCGAACCCCCTCCTCCAGGCGCGCGGAGGGGCCGACCAGCCATTACCTCGCAGAGGCTGAAGAGTCCGTAGGCCGCCAGCCACACCGTGCAGGTGACAGCGGTGAGCGAACGCAGCGAGAGCTGAGGGCAGCTGAGGCAGAACTCCCGGCAGGACGGGGAGTAGTAGCGGCGCTGCAGGGCCAGGCGGCCGCCGCAGATATCCGAAAAGCTCCGCTCATCCTCCATAACTGGCTTGCCGGCACTCGGCTGCCCGCACAGCACCGCGGTCGCCCGCTCTCCCAGTCTCGCCTGCTCCAGACCCGCTTCCGGCAGTCGCGTCACCTCGCCCCGCCCCTAAGCCCGCGCAGCCTCAGTTGTGCGTCAAGAGCCCTGCTGCGGTGTGAGGCTGTGCGTTGTTCCCGGCCGGCCTTGGCCCAGCTTCTATAATTGTCTTCGTACAAAGCTTGTTGGGGGCAACAATTCAGCGGACAGATTAAAACACTTTTAGGCCGGGCGCCTTGGCTCACGCCTCCAGCGCTTTGGGAGGCCAAGGCGGAAGGATCGCTGGAGCCTGGGAGGTCGAGGTTGCAGCGAGCCGAGATCATGCCACTGCTCTTCAGCCTGGGCGACAGAGCGAGACCCTCTCTCGAAACAAACCCATAGTTTGTTTTTGTTTTTGTTTTGAGATGGAGTGGCGCAAACTCGGCTCACTGCAACATCTGTTCCCTGGGTTCAAGCGATTCTCCTGCCTCAGCCTCTGAGTAGCTAGGATTACAGGCGCCCACCACCACGCCTGGCTGATTTTTGTATTTTTAGTAGAGATGGGGTTTCACCATGTTGGCCAGGCTGGTCTCGAACTGCTGACCTCAGGTGATCCGCCCACCTCGGCCTCTCAAAGTGCTGAGTTTACAGGTGTAAGCCACTGAACCCGGCCCAAACCAACAGTTTTAATCGTACTTTTGCTCAGCAAGCTGATTTCTTTAAGCCAGAGTGAGCCACAAGGAGACAGTGCACCAGTATTCATTCCACTTACTCTTTTCCTGTGCCAGGTAATTTGAGGTGCCGAGGATGTAGCGGTGAACGATGTTGATGACAGTCTCTGCCCTCGAGTAGCTTCCTTTCTAGTAGGAGACGATATGGAAATAACTTAGAAGAGTGTCGCTGGCAATACTATGCTGATTGGCAGGAATGGACTGAGGACTTTACATAGGACAGTCAGGGGAAGTCTCTGAGTAAGAGGACACTGGAGTTACAAGGGTAAGGAGACTGACAGGACTGAAGAGCTCTGGAGGAGGACTTTGCCGGAAAGAAAGACCAGGAAAGGCAAAGCTCTGGAAGCTGGAACAAGCTTGGCTTATTGAAATAATCAAAAGGCCCGAAAGGTTGGTGTATGCGGGAAACTGTTGGAAGGTGGGGAGGTAGGTAGGGGTCAGATCCAAGAGGATCTTGTAGGGTCTGTTAAGGAGTTTGGATTTCACTGCCTGGGAGTTCTCTTTCCTAAACGACCAGTTGGAAGGTGGTAGACAGGCAAGACCTGGCTGGGAAGTAAGCAGGAGTGGCAGATGCAGAAGAAATGGATAATAAAATTACTAAACTCGTGAGTAATAGTGGCTTGCGGATTCCATTTTTACTTTTGATGTGGCCCAGGAGTGGCTGTGTGGACTGTCGAAACACTTGTGATGGGCTGCGCGCAGTGGCTGATGCCTGTAATCCCAGCACTTTGGGAGGCCAAGCAGCGCAGATCACTTGGGTCAGGAGTTCAAGACCAGCCTGGCCAACATGGTGAAACCCTGTCTCTACTAAAAATTTTTTAAAAATTAGCTGGGCATGGTGGCACATGCCTGTAATCCCAGCTGCTCAGGTGGCAGGAGAATCACTTGAACTTAGGAGTTTAAGACCTGCCTGCGCAACATAGCAAGACTGTGTCTATATTAATTTGAAAAATAAAAATAAAGGTCATAAAGGTCTCACCAGCTTTAAGTCTCTCTGATGAAAGTCAGGTTTTGTTTCTTCATATTCATTCAGGATTTTGTTTCCCTTTTTTTCTAAAAGATTTCTTCAAGCATTTCTTTATTTTTCCAGTTTTTTTTTCTGTGCCCTCAATCTGACAATTAATACACCCCTTTTATTCGTCTCTTCTCACACTTCTATAAAGAACTACCTGAGACTGGGTAATTAATAAAGAAAAGAGGTTTAATTGATTCACAGTTCCACATGGCTGGGGAGGCCTCAGGAAACTTACAATCATGGTGGAAGGCAAAGGAGAAGCAAGATGTGCCTTACATGGCAGCAGGAGGGGAGGGGGGACATGCCACATTTTTAAACCATCAGATCTTGTAAGAGAACTCACCCAGTATCATGAGAACAGCGTGGGGGAAATCCACCTCTATGATCCAATCACCTCCCACCGGGTCCCTCCCCTAACAAGTGAGGATCACAATTCAACATGAGATTTAGGTAGGCACACAGAGCCAAACCAGATCACTGCTTTTACTATCACATATATCAGTATTTTATAATTTTAAAAGTGGTATTTGCTTACTGTGGAAAATTTGAAAAATACAGAAAAGAAAAAAATGTAAACCGCCCATATTCCCACCACTCAGAGATAAGTACTGTTAATGTTTTGGGGAAGCCTGTAGTCCTGGATTTCTTAACTTGGGCTCCATGGATAGAATCGGTGTTTCATTTTTAGGTCCATAACTTCTAATTCACATTTAACATTAGGCCAGGCGCAGTGGCTCACACCTGTAATCCAAGCACTTTGGAGGCCAAGGCAGGCAGATCACCTGAGGTCGGGAGTTCAAGAGCAGCCTAACCGACGTGGTGAAACCCAGTCTTTAAAAAAATAAATAAATAATAAAAATAAAAATAAAATTTAACATTTCTTTTGATTATGAATATAGGCAAAAAACTAGTATTGTAGAGCTTGTGATTTTTGTCACTGACAGAAATCACAGATATTTTTACAATAATTGTTTCAAAATGTCAAAATTGCAATGATTATTAGATCCACCACTAGATATTGTTTTTAATGTGTCAGTAAAGAAAAACATATCACTATAACACATTTTTAACAATATTTTGATAACTGTATTTTAATGTAGTTGATTTTCTTAGCAGTCCCATGTATTTATACACTTTAAAACATTATTGTAATAAATGTTTTAAATGTGTTTCACCAGACTTCCAGAGGGTCTACAATACAAAAAAGGTTAAGAACCTGTATAGGCTAAGAAGTTTCTTTTTTTTTTTTTTTTTAATGACAAGATGACAAGGTCTTGCTCTTCACCCAAAGTGGAGCGCAGCAGTGGTACAGTCACGGGTCACTGTGGTCTCAACCTCCTGGGCTCAAGAGATCCTCCCACCTCAGCCCCCTAAGGGGTATCTGAGGGAGGTTCTGTAACCAATCCCCCACTAATATAGAGGGACAACTGTATATAACACCTTAAACAAAAGGAAGGAGGTTTAGGGCTTCAGTGGGAACACATGGAAAGTTCCATTGGGCTTTTTGATGCCAAATGAAGCTGAATTAGGACTTTCTGGTGCTAACCCTCAGTTTTTTTCCCCAATCAGAAAAATTCCTCAGAGGAAATCTCAGAAGTTTGTCACAGTCCTGGAGGCTGGGAAGTCCAGGATCATGTTGCCTGCAGATTTGGTGTCTGGTGATAGCCCATTTCATAGATGACACATTCCTGCTGTGTCCTCACATGGTACAAGGGGCAAGGCAGCTCTCTGGGCACTTTTTTTTCTGTACAAGAGCACTGGAAAGAAAACAACAAAACAAAATACAAACAGTTTGATTCTCCTGTTGTTTCTCACAACACAGAAAGCTTCTGTGACCAAGTGTATGGGGGGGTTTCCCCACACACCAAGCAAGCAATTCAATTCTGACACTGTCCACCTAGAAGTCATGTCAGGTCCCACAGAACTTGTCAACAGCTCAGTCCTACAAAAGTGCCCCTGACTTGAGACATCAGTCACAAGTCCAAGCTTCTGGAACTTCCCACCAACCAGCCATTAATTGGCATTCCCACAACGCTCCTTTTGGGTTCAGTTAATTTCCTATTAAACTCTGTCTTTGCTGCAACTCCTGCTGTTCTCAGTGGTTCTTTTCAGGGCAGCAGGCAAGAAAAACTGGTTAGGCTGTGACACCTGTGCCACTTGCTCATGAAGGTTCACAGAACTCTGGGAAACACTTGACTTATGCTTCCTCGTTTATTATAATGCATATTTTAAAGGATACAAATGAATAGCCAAATGAAGAGATACATAGAGGGAGGTCTGGGAAGGTCCTGAGCTCAGGCACTTTTGTCCCCATGGAGTTGGGGTGCACTACCTTCCCTGTGCCCCATATGTGGAAGTCCCCTGGAAGTCCCCTGAACTCAGTTCTTTTGGGTTTTTATGGAGGCTTCATTATGTAGGCCTGGTTGATTAAATCATTGGCTTTTGGTGGCCAACTCAACCTTCAGCCCCTCTTCCCCTTCCGGAAGGTGTGTGTTGGTGGGGGCAGGGGTGTGTGAATTTCAAGCCTCTGAGTTGATTGGTTCTCCTGGCAACAAGCCCCTAAGCCTGTGGTTATCTAGGGACTTTACAAAACTCACCTCCTTAACATAAATTCAGGTGTAGTTGAAAGAGGCTCCTTATAAATAACTAGAGCCTTTCTCCTTTATTGCTCCAGAGCTGTTTCAGAAACCAAGAACAAAAGGCCAATTTTTTTTTTTTTTTTGAGATGGAGTCTCACTCTTTCACAGAGGCTGGAGTGCAGTGGCGCAATCTTGTTTCACTGCAACCTTCACCTCCCGGGTTCAAGCAGTTCTCCTGCCTCAGCCTCCTGAGTAGCTGAGATTACAGGCATGCGCCACCATGCCCAGCTAATTTTTGTATTTTTAGTAGAAATGGGGTTTCACCATGTTGGTCAGGGTGGTCTCGAACTTCTGATCTCGTGACCTGCCCACCTCAGCCTCCCAAAGTGATGGGATTACAGGCGTGAGCCACTGCGCTTGGCAAAAGGCCAAATATTTTAACAAAACATATTCTTGAGGAGGAGAAGAGGAAGGGGGTGGGAATCTGCTACAGGCTGGCGCTAATGGGACTGATAGCTCCAGCTTTCGGAGGACAGAAGTTTCTTGGCCTTGGAGAAAGGGCGAGTCTGCACAAAGCCCCTGGAAGCGCTGAGAGATTGAGAGGCACACGCTTCCCTGGTGAGCCTCGTCTCTTCCTTTCGACCTTGGGAGGGATGAAGGGAATGAGGAGAGGAGAAGGGCCAATGGAGGAAGCAGAATGCCTAGTCAAGGGCCGCTTGGGTGCTGCTTTTCCCCAGGGCTGCCTCCACTCCTGTGGCTTTTTCAAGGGTTGTCAGCCAGAGGCAGAGGCACCAGCCTGTGGTCTGGCACCATGCTATTGAATGGCTATTCGAGGATCCACATTCCCTGAGAAACCTTTGCAGAATTTTAAGTAATGAAATATAACATGACTGACTCCATTTTGCTTCTAGTTTTATAAGCTAAATTGTTTGGGTTTGTTTTTTTGTTTTAATATTCCAGTGCAAAGGCCAAGATAGCTGTAAGAGGAATTTAGTTTATAGCTAAACTTTGAGGCAAGGAGAACTGACCCCCTTCCTTGTTCGGAGATTGAGGCCACATTCATGCAACGTGGTTAAAATTATGGTAGGGGCTTGAACTTTGCTGAAGAATTTTGGTAAGGGCTTGAACACAGTTAAACAACCATCTGCTGTTGCTTCTTCTGTTTACCGTAAGTTTCTTACTGCCCCAAAGTCACATAATGGAGGTCTCAAGATTATAACTTCCTCTACTACTCCTATAGATAACCTCACTATTGTGAAACCTAAAGAACTAGCCTTGGAAATCCTTTTCAGATTCAGCATTTCAGTAAATCAATGGAGACCACCTGGTCCTGAGACCACCCACAGTTCCTGGGAACTGACTTAGCTGTACAAAGACAGTTTTAGATGCCCCTGTGATTTCATCCCCAACCAATCAATTATTTCAGTTCCCCAGCTCCCTGCCTCTCAAAGTACCCTTAAAAAACCTTAGCCTCCAAATTGTTGGAGAGAGGGGTTTGAGAAATTTCTCCCTGTTCTCCTCACGTGGCTTAACCCTACCTACAATTATTAAACTCTTTCTTTAGTATAACTTCTGCTGTTCTCAATGGTTTTTTCAGGGCAGCAGGGCAGAATAACCCATCAGGCTATGACACCTGTGCCGTGTGCTCATGAAAGGCCACCAGCTGCTGGAGCCCTACCTGATGGTGTGGATGAGGTGCACGTGGGCCAGACCAGCGCCAATGGAGGATCACCAAACCCGTGCACCCCAAGGAGCTCTGCACTAACACCACTGAAGGCGGCCATCATCCATAAGCTGCCCCGGAGCTATGACCACTTCATGTCAACATGTACCCTGTAATTCTATCGCTGGTAAGCCCTACTTTGTATGGGTTGCAAATAAAGAATACCCAATTGGAAAAACAAAAGGCAAGCAGGTTTTATTCCTGCCCATGAATAGAGGAGAGAGCTCTTGCTCTAAAGCAGCGTTCCCCAAACTTTTTGGCAGCAGGAACCAGTTTCATGTAAGACAGTTTTTCCACAGACCCTGGTGGGGGGGTTGGTTTTGGGATGATTTAAGTGCATTACGTTTATTGTGCCCTGTATTGCTATTATTACATTGTAATATATAATGGAATAATTATACAACTCACCATAATATAGAATCAGTGAGAGCCCTGAACTTGTTTTCCTGCAACTAAATGTCCCATCTGTGGGTGATGGGAGACAGTGACAGATCATCAGGCATTAGATTCTCATAAGGAGCATGCAACCTAGATCCGTCACATGCATAGTTCACAATAGGGTCCACAATAGGAGAATCTAATGCCGCTGCTGATCTGACAGGAGGCAGAGCTCAGGTATTAATGCCAGTGATGGGGAGTGGCTGTAAATACATATGAAGCTTCACTGGCTGGCTTGCCCACCTGCTATTCACCTCCTGCTGTGCAGCTTGGTTTCTAACAGGCCACAAGCCAGTACTAGTCAATGGCCCTGGATTGGGGGCCCCTGCTCTAAAGACACGTTCTCCCAGAGCTATGCGAAGCTGAGGAATTTTATGGAGTTAGATGTGGGCAGGGGAAGTATGTAAACATGTGCAGGGAGCCCACGATCACAAACATGCATCTTCATACAATGCATGTCCAGAAAATGGTGGGGATTTCCTTCTATGGGTGGGATTTTAATACGATGATGATATCTTAATGATCTAAAGGTAACAAGGAGCTGCCGGTTCTGGTTGGCACCAATTTTGCACAAGCCTTATCTTCCTCTGGTAATTGACAAAGGGTTCTGAAGCTCCTGGGGCTTCTCAGGCCATCTGGAATTCTTTTAAGCAAAGTACCTACAGATAAAAAGACTAGAAAAACACTGTTTAGAAAAAATAATGAGCTTTCACAGCTGTTTATTGTTTAGAAAATAGGCTGGGTGCGGTGGCTCACGCCTATAATCCCAGCACTTTGGGAGGCCAGGAGTTTGAGACCAGCTTGGCCAATGTTGTGAGACCCACCATCTCTACTAAAAATACAAAAAAAAACTTCAGCCAGGTGTGATGGCTGACACCCGTAATCCCAGCTACTTGGGAAGCTGAGGCACAACAATCTCTTGAACCCAGGAGGTGGAGGTTACAGTGAGCCGAGATTGAGCCACTGCACTCCTGGCTGACAGAGGGAGACTCAAAAAAAAAAAGAAAAAAAGGGGGGGGGGAGGGAGGGAGAGAGGGAGAGAGGGAGAGAGAGAGAGAGAGAAAGGAGGGGAGAGAGAGAGAGAAAGAAAGAAGAAAATAATGAGCTTTCCTAGCTATATTTGTAGGGCTGCCTTGTTAACAATTCCAGTGTGGACTAAAAGGAAGAAGCTGAGGCAAAATTAATATAACTAGAGAATTTATTTGGGGCAAGCTTGAGGATTGCAACATAGGAGCATAGATTCAAAAGATTGCTCTGAGCTATTTTTTTTTCACTGGGAGCTGCTGTGCATGGCTGGCATGGTCAACATCCTGGACACCTTCCAAGGCTGGCTGAACCTGCAGCCAGAGGGTAAAGTATTTGTGGTAATAACCCCAGTAGGGCAGGACATGGTGGCTCAAGCCTGTAATCCCAGGTACTTAGGAGGCTGAGGTGAGAGGATCATTTGAGACCAGGAGTTTAAGACCAGCCTGGGCAACATGGTGAGGTCCTGTCTCTAAAATAAAAATTAGCCAGGAGTGGTAGTGCACACCTGTGGTTCCAGCTACTTGGAAGGCTAAGGTGGGGGATTTCTTGAGGTGGGGGAGTTCAAGGCTACAATGAGCTATGATTGCACCACTGTACTCCAGCATGGGTGACAGAAAGAGACCCTATCTCCAAACCCACCCCTCTCCCCCACCAATAAAACAGATCAATGGAAACAAAATTATGCTTGTTTAATGGAAGCAAGATTATGGAAACAGATACCTGAGGCAGCCCACCTACTGCTCTTACTGCAGGAAGTTTATCTGGGGAGTATTTGGGAAACAGGGTTATCAGTGCCAAGTGTGTTGCCCATAAATGCGGCCATCATCTAAAACTTTACAGCCTGTATTTGCCAAAACAATATTAACCAAGAAGATTCAAACATTGCCAAACAGAGGTTCAGAATCTCATACAAGTGCAGCATCCACAACTACAAATCACACCACTTTGCAATCACTGTAGTGCCCTGCTTTGGGGGATAATGGGTCTTCATTTCTGAAGGCTCTAGTGTCATGTGAAACTTTGATGGAAGAAATTTGTTATAATTTTCTTTCTTTCTCTTTCTTTCTTTCTTTCTTTCTTTCTTTCTTTCTTTCTTTCTTTCT